CTTGCCCTCAAAATTCCAATGTCGTGCACCAGAGAGTCTAACATTTAAGAGCAGAAACGGTCCCAGAAAAGAAATGCACCGGTCGAAACGAAGGCACTAGCAAGGACATATCTATGAGGCATTTGAGACTATGGTGTCTCAGCAAGTAAATACAAGAATGACGATATCGGATGGCTATCGCTCAACACCGTTAACCCACCAGAGCTGGGGCCCAGCAATACACAACTGGAAACCAGGCCTGGAAGCCCCAAGGACACTTCAATTACACACAAGAGCCCACGCCTGTAATAAAGGTCTCCCTGTTCTCACACATGCAGATAAGTTTCTTCACGTGTAAAGTTAGCCAATGATGGTATGACGTCTACGGACAATTTCAGGTCTGTATACAATGACTATAATCTAGTACTGGCTAAAATGCACTCTTAACCATTAGGTGAGGAGTTTGTATTTAATCGGGCTACCAAAGGGGGCGCCTGGGTGGCTCCGTCGGTAAAGTGTCCAACTTCGGCTCAGGTCACGACCCCGTGGCGGGCTCTGTGTTGACAGCTTGGAGCCTGGAGCCTGCTTCTGATTCTGGGTCCCTCTCTCGCTCTGCCCCTCCCCTGCTCGGGCTCTCTCTCTCTCTCTCTCTCAAGAATAAATAAAACATTTTTAAAAAGTTAAAAAAAAAAATCAGGCTACTAAACTCAGGTGCATTATCTCACAGTAAACACCTGATAACTTTTCAATAATTCTTTTTCTGGCTAAACTATTGAAAGGAGAGCCTTCTGCAGCTGTTCATGGAGTATTTCCAGCTGACCACATGACTCCTCCACGTTTTCCATTCTTTACTACAATTAAATTTTCAGAGATCACACAAATAGCATATGCCACTATTCGTTTGTTTTGATTCCTTCCTTTCTCATGCGTGAATGATTTACAGGTGATCGAGCCACTCAGTTCTGAGTCCTGTGCCCTTTTGCAAATACTCATGGGCTCACGAACTTCAAGCAGAAGTTTGCTGGACCCATCCGATTTTAGACAGGAAGCAGGAGACTGTGTCGGAGAACTGTTTCTACTACAACTCTGCAAAAAAGGCAGGTTAATTTCTTATCCGAAACCATGCAACCATTGCAAAACAAAAATGAAAAGTACATAATGTCAGCCCTAGAATAGCCACTAAAAATAAACAGATAAATATAACTAATACAACAAGTGTGCAGAGAAAGTGGAATACTAAAGGTATAAAATCAGTAAAAAAAAAAAAAAAAGTAGGAGTAGTAACAAATGGACATAGTGACTGATGTGGAAAACAAAGACAGAAGGAAATGGCAGAAAATCAAATTTCCTGGGGCGCCTGGGTGGCTCAGTCAGTTAAGCATCTGACTTTGGCTCAGGTCACGATCTTGTGGCTCAGGGGTTCGAGCACTGTGTTGTGGGCTCTGTGCTGACTGACAGGTCAGGGCCCGGGGCCTTCTTCGGATTCTGTGTGTCCCCCTCTCTTTGCCCCTCCCCTGCTCATGCTCCGTCTCTCTCATTCTCTCTCAAAAATAAATAAACATTAAAACCTTCAAAAATAAAAACAAAAGAAAATTAAATTTCCTTATAACCTGCAGCCCATTGACAAATACTTGGGGCAGGCCGAGTATAACTTTTCTCTAGGAACTCCCTACTGTCTTAATATTAATGCTTTGCTGGAGGGAAAAACAACCTTGGCTTGACAACAGCTGGGCCTCCAGGATCCTGGGAGTCTTCTTTAGCACGTGAAACTCTTTTTGGAAACTTCCCCTTACCTTTATCGACCCCAACTCCCAAGTATATAATCAGTAACTTCTCACAATTCCCCAGGCAGCTCTTTCGGGCCACGGGTCCTGTCCCCATGCTTTACTAAAGCCATCTTTTTGCACCCAAGACGTCTCAAGAATTCTTTCTTGGCCTTCGGCTCCAGATTCCCATCATCACCCCAAAACCACATCAGTGAGTAGATAGGAAATACAAAATCATGGTAGCTTGAATTCAACCAATGTCAATAATGACACCAAATACAAATTATGAAAACATTCCAATTGTAAGAGAGTTTTCCGGACTTAATTTGAAAAGTCTGCCATAAATACATGCGATCCGCACACTTTAAAGACCCAAAGATGAAAACTCAAACATTGGGAAAGAAACACCTTGGGAAGACTCATCACGGAAAACTGGTGTGGCTCTACTAACTTCAAGACAAGAATTATTGCTGGTGAGGGAGGGGTCTTTCCTAATCATGCAGAGGTCAATTCATTAAAAGACATGAAAAACTAAGTGTATACAGACCTAAGAGCAGAGCTTGAAAACTCATGAATGAAAAAAAAAAAAAAAAAACAGGACTACTAGCAGCCATATTTATTTAATTAAAAAATGAGTGGAAAGAGAAAAAAAGAAGAAAAGAAAAAAAACAGAACAGAAAAGGCCAACAAACAAGCCCACAGATTTCAACAGCTGTAGCTCAGTAGCTGATAAAATCATTAGATAAAAAGTAACTATATAGGAAATTTGAATACAACCAAGCTTCTTAAACTGACTCTTATTGAGCACTCCAGGCAAAAAAAAAAAAAAAAAGAACAGATTTAAAAAAAAGATTTTTTTTTTTATCGTTTTATTCATTTTTAAGAGAGAGAGACTGAGAGCGAGCAGAGGTGGGGCAGAGAAAGAGGGAGACACAGAATCCAAAGCAGGTTCCAGGCTCTGAGCTATCAGCACAGAGCCTGATGTGGGGTTCAAACCCACGAACTATGAGATCATGACCTAAGCTGAAGTCGGATGCTTAACTGACTGAGCCACCCAGGTGCCCCCAGAACACTTAAAAAAAAAAATAAATGCACATCGACTATTCATCATAGTAGATACATATTAAACACAAAACAAATCTCAATAAGCTTAATAAATTAAAAATATCTTACAAGTGCACTTTGACCAAAAGGGAATTAAATTGAAAATAATAATAACAATATACCTGGAAAATCCCCAAATAATTGGAAATTAAACAACATACTTATAATAATGCATTTTTCAAAGAATATATTAAAAAGAAAAATATTTTGAAGAGATAAAAATGAAACGCAATGTATCAAAATTTGTGAGAAGCAGCTAAAACAGTACTTAGAGGACAATTTATAGTTTTTGTGACTAGAATAAAATAGGAAAATAATAAAGAAATTCAATGAAACTAGAATTTGTAGTCTTTGCGAAGACTGGTAACATCGCTGAGCTCTAGCTAACCTAACCATTAATAAACACACAAACACGCAAATTGTCACTAGCAGGAATGAAAGATTGGCAAAAATACACCAGGTGATTAGTAATAAGAAATCCTATGTAGGTGGGCACCTGGGTGGCTCAGTCGGTTGAGTGTCTGACTTTGACCCAGGTCGTGATCCTGTGCTTTGTGGGCTCCAGTCCAGCATAGGGCTCTGTGCTGACAGCTCAGAGCCTGGATGGAGCCTGCTTCAGGTTCTATGTCTCCCTCTCTCTCTACCACTCCCCCACTCTATCTCCCCCAAATAAACATTAAAAAAGTTATTAAGAAATCCTATGTAGGAATACTGATATCAAGCAAAATACAACTCAAGGAAAAAAACTGAACATGACAATTAATTTGTAATAATTATGATTTTTAAAAAATATTTATTTTTGGGAGAGCGCCAGAAGGTGAGGGGCAGAGAGAGAGAGGGACATAGGATCGGAAGTGGGCAATGGGCTGACAGGCTGACAGCAGTGAGCCCGATGTGGGGCTCGAACTCACGGAACAGTGGGATCATGACCTGAGTTTAAGTCGGACGCTTAACTGACTGAGCCACTTGGATGCCCCGTATAATAATTATGATATTTATTCACCAAAAACCCAGCAACCAATTTTATAAAATAAAAATTACAGAGATGCAAGGAGACAGAAACAGGGCATCACAATAGTAGAATACTTTAACACACCACCTTGAGCACAAGACAGAGGAAATGGACAAAACATAGGAAGGATCCAGATGATGGGAACACCATAATTAAAAAGGTACTATATATAGGGGCGCCTGGGTGGCTGAGTCGCTTGAGACTGGACTTTGGCTCAGGTCATGATCTCCTGGTTCGTGAATTGGAGCCCCGCATCGGGCTTACTGTTGCCAGTACAGAGCCCGCTTTGCTCCTCTGACCCTCTCTCTCAGCCCCTCCCCCACTCTCTCTCTCTCAAAAAGAAATACACATTCTATATTGATATATAGATATCAATGCATAAAACTATAGTCATTCCTATACAAAGTTCTATCTGTTTTAAAAATCACAATGAACAAGTTACTGCATGTACTATGTACCTACGTACGTATGTATGGCTGGGCCTGTGTTTGTGTATTTTGCATGTGTGAAAATATTCCTGCAACCTTTCCGTAAATCTGAATTAATGTCAAAATGTATCCTACGTCAATATAAGTAACTTTACACCCTGATTACAGAGAATACAGCTTCATGCACAGGAACCAGTCACGTACAGTGATCCTCTACTGGGTCACAAAAATCAGTCACCGAGTTCTCTATCAAAGAGAAATATTATATAAACAACGTTCTCAGAAAGCGATGTGATAAAACTAAGAAGTAGCAGCAGAATTTAAAAAGCATTCCACATGGAAACTGCCCGACCTTCTATTAAACATCTCTTGAGTGGAAAGGGAAATAAAAATTGAAGGTAAACATTTTTCAACGTTTTTTTAAATTTATTTTTGGGACAGAGAGAGACAGAGCATGAACGGGGGAGGGGCAGAGAGAGAGGGAGACACAGAATCGGAAACAGGCTCCAGGCTCCGAGCCATCAGCCCAGAGCCCGACGCGGGGCTCGAACTCCCGGACCGCGAGATCCTGACCTGGCTGAAGTCGGACGCTTAACCGACTGCGCCACCCAGGCGCCCCGAAGTTAAACATTTTATAAAATGAAATGATAACAAAACACTATGTATCAGAATCGGTGGCATATATTAGGTTTAAGAAGCAAAGGGACTTACTTATAAGGCTTGTGTCCCACACCTCCAGACGAGTAGATGTCTGCACCCAGGCCAGAATCTTAAATGTTTACCCAGAGTCCTTAACGGGGTTCGATCACGTAAACCCTCCAAATGGTCTCAGCAGCACGTTGCTCTCTCAAGGTTGTGACCTTCAAAATGGCTCCCGTGGTGGGCGTGGTGGATGGGGGCTACGTTCCAGGGACAGGGGAGGGGCGAGCAGCCTCTGACTGCTGCGGCCAACCCCGGGGTCTTCCTGATAGCCCCCTCCAACAAATATTCCTATCTGAAAAAAAAAAAAAAAAAAATACAAATTTAATGTCCAGCACAGAAAGTCAGAAAAAATAACAACAAAACAAACGAAAAAGAAAGCCAAATCAAAGAGCCAAAAAAACAAAAGTAAAAATTAATAAGTGCACAACAGGAAGACAGATCTCACTAATTAACTGAAACTTTTAAATAAATAAATATTTAAAAATATGTTGGGGCTCCTGGGTGGCTCAGTTGGTTGAGTGTCTGACTTCCGCTCAGGTCATGATCTCCCGGTTCATGGGTTCTACCCCTGCTTGGGGCTCTGGGCTGACAGCTCAGAGCCTGGAGCCTGACTCAGATTCTGTGTCTCCCTCTCTCTCTGCCCCTGCCCCACTCGCGCTCTGTCTCTCTCTCAAAAATAAAAACATTAAAACATTTTTTTTAAAGATGTGAACCACTAACTAACTTAATTATTTGGGGGGGGGCCTAAAAGAAAATATAGATTAAAATGAAATATTTTCTAAAATATAATAGTAATGCGGGCACATGTGTATATGTACATGTATGTGTTTGCACAAATGTAATGCAATTCTAAATAAGAAATGGTACCAAAAAAAATCAAAGTGTTACTAAAAAAGATATCAAAATGAAAAATTAGAAAACATTATTTCTTTAAAAAATTTTTTAATGTTTATTTATTTTTGAGAGACAGAGACAGAGCACAAGTGGGGGAGGGGCAGAGAGAGAGAGGGAGACACAGAATCTGAGGCAGGCTCCAGGCTCTGAACTCTCAGCAAAGAGCCTGATGCAGGGCTCAAACCCACAAACCGTGAGATCATGACCTGAGCTGAAGTTGAATGTTTAACTGACTGAGCCACCCAGGTGCCCCAACGTTATTTCTTAATGATAATGAAAATACAACATATCAGACTTGTGACTGTATCCACTTGTGACTATATCCTAAGTAATGATTAGGGGGCAATTTGTAGCTCTAACTGGATATATTAGAAAAGAAAAAGTTTGAAAATCAGTGATTGAAGCTTCAGTCTTAAGAAGCCAGAAATACAACAGTAAGTTTAACCCGACAGAGAAGTTTAGTTGCCCCAAAGAGAAAGACCGACAAAGTCAGCATTTGATTCTTGAAAAATAATAATAAAATTTTATAATCTACTAGGTCGACTAAGAAAATAAGAGACAAATTACTTATCAGGAATGAAAACGAAAGTTTCTTTATCAATCCTGCTAATATAGAAAAGAACAAGGGGGCGCCCAATGGCTCAGTTGGTTAAGCATCTGACTCTCGATTTTGGCTCAGGTCATGACTCACGGTTCGTGAGTTCGAGCCCCGAATGGGGCTCTGTACTGACAGTGTCCAGTCAGCTCGAGATTCTCTCTCTCCCTCTCTCTGCCCCTACCCATTTGCACTATCTGTCTCTCTCTCAAAACAAATAAACAAACTCCATTAAAAAGAAAAAAAGGAACAGGGGTGTTATAAACTACCATGCCTTAATAAATTTGAAAATTTGGATTAAATGAGAAATCCTTTAAAAAACACACACACGCACACTTACCCAAAGTAACGCAAGAAGATATTTTCAAAATTGAATCGTTCTTTCACAATGTAAGGAGTTGAATGTATCCCCACAAACCTTTCCCTGGAGGAGAAGAGAGACACATCCAGGTCTCGATGGAAAATTTTTCTAAGAAGTTAACTACTGACACTTGGCCAAGAGAACACTAGAAGGGCCAGCTAGTAATTTACAATGTGCCGCTTAAAGTGTGAAACGCCCTTGCCAGTACCTGGGGCCACCTTGTTTTCATTGTATAGCGATGCTGGGTTGATAGTTTACCTCTAATTTAACCAGTTACACAGCCTGGTTTGGATAAATCACCAGCGGGGGGGTACACATGCGGCTATATACTTTTACCTGGGCTTTCCTGGAACGAGTATTCCTTGCACGTTATCTTGGTGGCTGATAATTCAAATACAAACAGTTACCTGTGTGATTGAAAAAGTACGATGGGGATCTACTTCTGGAATTTTCTTAGGCCCCCGATACTTTCCCTGCCCCTCCTTTATTTTCTCCTGCTGTACCTTACAGAAATACACACCCCAAAGGGTCTTGTGAGTCCTTTCAATTATCTGCCTCCATACAATTTATGGAATTAGCACTGTCGTAGAAGATTTTTTAAAGTCTCTCTGGCTCCACGGTTTTAATAATGGCCGTGGCTCTGTTTGGGAGAGAGACAAATACAAAAGTTTGCAGAAGAAAGACCTGTTGAGGAACTACCATTGCCAGCTGGGTTTTGTAACCATCCCTGGGGATTGTCGCTAAAGCACCGTAGCCATGGACAAAAGGAAAAGTTTATCTGGGGTTTTGGTGTTGGTATATCTCTATGAATTACAAGTACATTACAAAAGAAATTCTGGCTGAGGTCAGCCAAGAAAATGGTACCCTGGCTGCTTTGGGTTCATTCACCAAAAATGAAAGTAACTAAGAAATAGTGTGGGCCACCAGAATTGCTGAGTTACGGCTGGCGATTCAGTCTGTAAGAAAGGGACATAACATCGTAAGGAGTTTGGGGGAAATCTGTTTTGATGGCTTGGGTCCCTGTCCCATCAATGATCACCAAAAAGATTATATAGGTAGCAGGCGGTTGGAGGACAATCAAGACTACCCAAACATGGGGAGATGTGGTCAAAGAGTTAGGATGTTTTGTGAATGATCTTAAGGAACTCCCTCTTTTTATTTATTTGTTTATTTATTTACATTTATTTATTTAGAGAAAGAGAGCATGAACACTGAAGAGGCAGAGACAGAGGGAGGGAGACAGAATCCCAAGCAGGCTCTGTGCCATCAGCACAGAGCCCGATGCAGAGCTCAGTCCCCCGAAGTGTGAGATCATGACCTGAGCTGAAACCAAGAGTCAGATGCTTAACCAACTGAGCCACCCAGGGGCCCCAAGGAACTCCTTGGACCCCTTGGATTTTACACATGAATGTCAAAGATACACCCAAGTGGAAGGGAAGGTTAGGGTCTCAATCAGACCCTCAGGTTGCAGCAGCTTTTGCAGAGATTTGTATAAAGGGACAGACTCCCCATCCCCAGCTTATTAGCCAGGGTAAATGTGGGGTTGTATAACGCATAACGAAAAAAGAATTGTACAACGCCAGTCATACATAGGAAGTGGAAGACTCCCTCTGAGGCCGTCGACCGTGTAGAAGCTTAATTAAAAATGACTTGAAAGTGGAAGAAATGAATAGAGTAATTGCTAACATTTTAGCGGAAAACTAAAGAGAGTAGATGATCCAGATGTTCCACCAACCTGTAGAGCTGCAACTGAACCGGTGAAGGTTCCTCTTTATGCTGCTATCAGGGACTTTTTAAATATTTGATGAGCACTCAAAGGAGGAATCTACAGTTCCTGCAAAGCTAGAGTCACCTGATATGGTGGGAGACAAAGGAGAGAATTATGATCCGGACTGATGGGAGGGCCAGGGTCTCTTGGCCCAACTCCTGAAGATAGCTTGGCGTCATGAGCAGTGAGGTATAAACGATCTTGCTGGAAACTTTTTCCCAGACTTCCCTGATGTCACATTTCTTGCACACATCTTGGTGGATCTTCAGGCAAAGAAGCATATTCCATGTGATTGAGAAAGAAGCCTAGGGCACTATTTCCAGAGCCCAATGCTTGCCTATGCTTTTCTCTGATCTAGCATATCCTTTACCTTTAAAAGCTTATGTGAGGAGTCTGAGCGTCCCTTCCGACATCTGACCTGGTGTGATCCACCCAAGTTTCCGACGTGTTTTAGGAGGCCAGCACTATTTGCATACCAAAGTTGGACAAGGGCATGTCAAGAAATGAAAATGATAGAGCAACATGCCTCATAAGCATGGATGCAAAGTCCTAACCAAATGTTACCAAATCAAATCCAGGTAACCATGGCTTAATTGGCCATGAACTGGTCCGAGAAGGCAAGGCTGGCTAGCATTCCAAAATCCAACCATTTAATTAATCATCATAACCACTAATGATGAATGATTATTTCACTAGAAGAAAAAAATCATTTCGTAACGTTACCTACGCATTCATAATAAAAACTATCTGCGGATTAAGAAAAGAAGGGAATCTTTCAATACGATGAAGGATTAAAAAAAAAACCACACAGCTAATATCGCTCTTCATGGTGAAATAGAGAATGCTTTACCTCTGTGAGTGGGAAAAAGAAGGATGTCCACAATCAATATAGGTATTCAGCATTGTTGTCTTAGCAGTTCACAAATGGAGAAAAATGACTTAGAAGTCATAATTTTTAGAAAGGAAAAGTTAAAACTTATTCAGAGGAATATTTTCATAACCTTGGGAAAAACAAAGTATTTTTCAAGCAGGACCATCTAGGGGTGCCTGGGTGGCCCAGTCAGTTGAGCGTCCGACTCTGGCTCAGGTCATGATCTCACAGTTTGTGAGTCGAGCCCCGCGTTGGGCTTACTGCTGTCAGCACAGAGCCCACTTCGGATCCTCTGTCTCCCCCCCCCCCCGCCCCTCCCCTTCTTGCGCTGTCTCTCAAAAATAAAACATTAAAAAAAATAAAGCAGGACTATCCACGAATGAAATTCCATTTGTGAAAAGGAAGAGTGAGAAACTAAAAATAACAAAATAAGAGAACACACCCATTGTGTACTTCCACTGTAGATCTATCCATCTATTCAGCAAAGGACTCATATTAATAATATATGTGAAATACCACAAGTCAATAAACGAAACGCATACAATTTGATTTTTTTAATGGGTAAAAGATCTCAATAGGTATTCAAGCAAAAGAACTTCCAAATGGCCAATACGTATGAAAAGATGTTTAACGTCATTAGTCGTCTGGAAACGTAAATTAAAATCATGTACACACACCAGAATGCCTGTTATTAAACCGAGAACAATGTGGGCGGCTCAGAATTCTCACATACTATTGATATGACTGTAAATTTGTACGACCACTTTTCATAACTGTTTGATAGTATCTGCTACGGGTAGGTAAGTGTCTACTCTAAGACCAGCACTTGGGAGCGTAGGCATAGATACACAGAAATGAGTGCTAACGTCCATTGAAAGACCTATAAAAGGATGTTCACAGCAGGTTTATTCATAATAGCCTGAATGGGTACATAAATTATGGTGTATTTATACAGTGGAATACCACACGACAACAAATAAAAGTGACCCATTGCCATGCCGATTTCACAGATAATGTTGAGTTAAAAAAAAAAAGGAAAAATATGATGTGCAGAGACACAACACAGAGGCTGTGACCCTGGGGCGGGCTCAGCCATGTGCCTCTGTTCACATGGTCACTGCCATTGCCCAGCCCTTGCTCGGCCTCTCCACTACAGGAAGAACTATGCTGTGCTTCTCGGAGAACTTATAACATTATAATTATAATATTGCAGCTTTATCACTCTAAAACATTTTCAGTAAGTTAAAACAGCATAATTCTTTTTTAGAAACAGAGGGTATTTGAGGCTTTCGGGCTGTTCCAGCAGAAGCTTGCACTTGGCGGAGGGCTGAAGTTCCTCCTCAAAATCATCCAGTTCCTGTTCTTTGGAGAGGTCCAAGAAAACCTCTTCTGGAAACGAATAGATAGAAGGAGGCCACACGGCCTTCAGTAGCTCTGGACTGAGTGCAGTGTCTATGCACAGATGGTACTTTTATATTCACGGCTGATATAAAACCACAGATCCTGGGGCACGTGGGTGGCTCAGTCAGTTGAGCGTTCAACTTGGGCTCAGGTCATGATCTCGAGGTTCATGAGTTTGAGCCTCGTGTTGGGCTCGCTGCTCTCAGACAGTCAGTGCAGAGCTCGCCTCGGATCCTCTGACCCTCTCTTTCTGCCCCTCCCCTGCGTGCACGCTCCCCAAAATAAAACTAAACGCTTAAAAATTAATAAGTAAATAAATAAAATCACGGAGACCGACCCACCTGCTCCAGGGTGGGCTGCGAGAGGCCGTACTCCTCCAGGCTGAAGCTCCGTTGAACTGCGGAAGGGTGGGCACGCTTTAGGAGTTCGTATATTTTAAATCTGGATGGTTGACTACATCACCTTAGGACGCAAACAGAAAATACGGGCAAATCTTAAATGAGGTGAGGCGACTGGCCCCATCTTTCAAAGTTTACTGTTTTTAATGTTTGTTTTTTTTTTAAAGTTTGTTTATTTTGAGAGAGACAGAGAGGGTGCAGGTGGGGGAGAGAGAGAGAGGGAGAGAGAGAATCCCAAGCAGGCTCCACACCGTCAGTGCAGGGCCCCACGCGGGGCTTGAACCCACGGACCCGTGAGATAGTGCCCTGAGCCGAAATCAAGAGCATGCTGATTTGCTTAGCCAATGGAGCCACCCACATACCCCGGTAGTGAGCACATCTTCTAGCTAACAGACACACGTCTGCTTAGGTCTGGGGGGTGGAAGGCACTTGTGTTACGCTTGCGTGGTGCCCACTTTTTGAGATCTCTAAGGGGGGAAACAGCGCCAAGGTTTCTGTCCCCGCACGTGAGCCAGTGCTTAGCAGAGCTGACTCGGCAGCCAGAAGGAAGGAAGGGAGGAAATGACAAGGGAAAAGGGAAGCATCGGAAGATTGCAGAGAGGGTGGCTCAGCCGGTTGAGCCTCTGACTTTGGCTCAGGTCATGATCTCGCGGTTGGTGAGTTCGAGCCCCGAGTCGGGCTTTGTGCAGAGCCTGCTTCGGATTCTGTGTCTCCCTGCCTCTGCTCCTCCCCCTCCCCCACTCACACTCTATTTTTCTCAAAAACAAACATTAAAAATAAATACATAAATAAATAAGTTTATAAAAGACCGCTATGGCTATCGAAGGAACAGATAGATGCCTCTTGGGCTTTTTTTTTTTTTTTTTTTTTTCCCAAAAGCCATTACAACTTGCCCCTAATCGAGTTGAAAATATCCTTGGAGTTTAACAAAATTGACAGGCAAGTGCAGGTACGGTCCCTCTAGGAGCCCAGCAGATTGGAAATGTGCCGCCACATGTCCCAGGCCAAGAGTGGTCTCAGCGTCAATCTGGGGAGCGCTGTGAATGACCACATGGCCCAGAAAGTCGGGGTGCTCAGTCTGGAGAAGACAATGGTGTCACAGCGACCACAGATACTGTCCCCAGAGGTGAGAAGAGTTTCTCTCTTCCCACCGGATGGGATGCTGCCCAGTAAAGCCAATTACATCTCCAAATTTACCCTTGCATTTTGTTTTTTAACAAGGGGAAAATATGTTGTCTCTGTCCTGTGGTCTCTGTCCCTCTGGCAACCCTGAGCTTTCTGATGGTTTGGCCTCATTGCCTTTTTTTCTTTTTATGTTTATTTATTTTGAGAGAGAGAGAGAGAGAGAGGGAGGGAGGGAGAGGGAGAGGGAGAAAGAGTGGGGGAGGGGCAGAGAGAGAGGGAGACACAGAATTCGAAGCAGGCTCCAGGCCCTGAGCCATCAGCACAGAGCCCGACGCCGGGCTCGAACTCACAAGCCGTGAGATCATGACCTGAGCCAAAGTCAGACGCTCAACCGACTGAGCCACCCAGGTGCCTGAGTGGCAACATTGTTTTAGAGTGTCATATCTTATAAACTTATCCTGGGTGTTGTTAGATTATATATTACTTATCTCATCCATCTACCTGTCCTGCACTTGGTTTGTGTCTCCAGTTAACATTCTAATGGATGTACTTTTACTGGCTCTGTTATGTCCTAATAACCCTAAAAGCTCACCTGGAAAAAATATGTTAATGATAATGGAAAGATTAGAAGTCTCAATATGTGGCAAGAGCTATGTTACGTGCTTTATATACAGTATCTCATTTAGTTCTCAAGCTGAGAGGTATAATTATGATATCCTCTCTCTCTCTCCCTTTCTCTCTTTATTCTTTCTTTCTTTCTCTCTCTCTCTTTCTCTTTCTTTCTTTCTTTCTTTCCTAATAACCCTAAAGGCTCTCCTGGAAAAAATATATTGATAATTTAAAGATTACAAGTCTCAGTATGTGGCAAATGCTGTTACATGCTTTATATATACTATCTCATATAGTTGTCAAGCTGAGAGGTAAGATTCCGATCCTTCCTTCTTTTCTCTCTCTCTCTCTCTCTCTCCTTCTTTCTTTCCTTATTTACTACTTATTTTAAGTAGACTTCATGCCCAGCATGGAGCCCAATGCGGGGCTCAACCTCACAATCCCAAGATCAAGAGTCAGATGCTTAACAAACTAAGTCACCCAGGCGCCCGTATGATCCCTTCTTTACAGATTCGGGGACAGAAGCTCTCAGGGTTAGGATTACTTTCCCAAGTTTGCACACTTGGGGAATGACAGCCACATTTGCAAAGCCAGCTTTGTTGAACGGGAGGAAGGCAGAAGTCAGCAAAATAGGCTCTTTCTTCTTGTAACGGTTGGTCAACATCTCAGCACGTACTCGCAAGGCCTCAAGGCAATTTCCTCGTGAACAGTGCTAAGAAGAAAACCACAGGCCCCACATAGTGCCCCTTAGGGCATGTACAGAAAACCAGGCTTTTTCTCTTAATTAATTTTTTAATTTAAATCCGAGTTAATGTATAGCGTAATCACGATTTCAGGAATAGAATTCAGCGATTCATCACTTACTCGCAACACCCAGTGTTCAGCCCAACAAGTGCCCTCCCGAATGCCCATCCCCCATTTAACTCATCCCTCCCCCCCACCCCCTCCCCACCTCCCCTCCAGCAACCCTCATTTTGTTCTCTGTATTTAAGAGTCTCTGATGGTTTGTCTCCCAGTAAACCAGACTTAATCCCTAACCTACCTGCAGTTTCAACTTCCCCGGAATGTAACCTTTAAGCAGTCAACGTAGAATTTCTTGGTCAGGGCTTGGAAGTTTACTGACAGGCCCCTTCCCCTCTCCTTAAGAGGGCAGCCTCTCCTAAGCAAGGCATTCCTTGCTACTAAATTCCTTTGTTTTTTTCTTCCTTCCTTCCTTCCTTCTTTTCTTTCTTTTCTTGATGTCCCCTCTCTGCCTTTGAAAGCTTTCTTTTAGCTCAGCAGAAGGCTCCTTCCCCCCCCCCCCACTTGTTCAATGATTCCAATTCACAAATTGTTTAATAAGGCCAATTAGACTTTCACATTTACCCACTGAATTTAGTTTTTTAACGGCAGTACTGACCATTAGGGAGTCAATTGCGTTAGTGAAGTCGAAAGGCTGTGGTTTCCATGGTTTCTTTTAAAAGAAAGCTTGTGGTTTTGGTGTCCAGGGTAACTAGGTCCCTAGTGGAGGACACAATGTTCCCTGGAAAAGAAACAGTTGGTGACAGGCTTGCACATTACATGAGAGATCGCAGTAGCTTCTGAGAGCGTGGAGCTCTTTGTTCAAGGACCTTAACTCGCAGAGGAAATTTCTAGCCAAAAGTGGAAGCGACAAGAAATATCTTCCGGTGCTGGAAAATATCATTCTGGTCGGTATGCTCCTTTGCAGGCAGCTGGCAAGAATGACCAGTGTCTGTAAATGACAAGCACATCGTACGAAGGGGTGATTTTTAGGGACGTGCTCTGAAAAAACACAACATATATGTGTTTTAGAAATTAAGTCACTTTGTCCTTAGCCCTAACTCTGTGTGTTCACTAGCTGCCTTCAGTTATATCGTCTATAAGCCCCATAACCTCTTTACTGTCCAGTGAGGTGATTTTGAACCCCCAGAGCTTTCCCCGCACCTGCATGAAAACATAGTGCGAGATAATTGTTCTCACTTGTTAAAAAAGTTTGGCAAACTCATCTAAACTGTCACTTTTATAAAATTTCTTATTCTTTTAGAGTTTAATGGTATTTTATTCCAAAATGATAAATACTCATAATTTTGAAAATATTTTTATGTTTATAAAAGGGAGATTAACCTTGCTTTCTCACCTCAAAGCTAAGCTCCTTGATTGGCGGGTGAGAAGAATCTACTTTAAAAACACCAAAGTAGGGGCACCTGGGTGGCTCAGTCAGCTGTGCCTCTGACTTTGGCTCAGGTCACGGTCTCACGGTCCATGAGTTCGAGCCCTGCGTTGAGCTCTGTGCTGACAGCTTAGAGCCTGGAACCTGCTTCGGATTCTGTGTCTCCCTCTCTCTCTCTGCCCGTCCCCTGCTCACGCTCTGTCTCTCTCAAAAATAAACGTTAAAAAAACATTTTTTTTAAACGCAAAAATTAAAAACAGCTGAAGGAAGCTTTTCTTAAGAAACAAAGTATAACAAAGGCTATCTTTCCCGCTGGGCTCTGTAATTGTTTTTCTTACTGTGCCTTATCCTGAAGAACATTTTTAAGCGAATTCAGGTGCCAGGCAAACGATGGTATCTTTCTGAGAACAGTCATCCAGAGCTTAAAGGAAAATAATCCCGTGTTTTAAACATAGATGCCACAAGCAGTTTGAAATCCAAAAACCGTGGCAGCTTTTTCCACATCAAAGGAAAAATCCACCCAGGACCCAGTTTTGAGTCAACCTTTTATGAATGGGGTTTGCCCAATTTACCTTGTTTTCCTGGATACCACAGCAGATGACTGAGCCAAGAGGTGGGCGGGTCTGCTTCTTGAAATCACCCCTGCAGCAGAGAGATCCATGGGCCAGAAATAGCCACCTGGGATTCTTTTGTGAGGAAGAATAATCTCGTTTGTTTGAGCCATTCTACTCTCCTGGGTTGATCTGATATGGCAGCCAAACTTGTCCTAATATACCTTTCCACATCTTCCAAATCTTAACATCTCAGAAACCTTCTTCGACAAGAAAAATCTTGGCAACATTTCAGTAACGAATCATCTCATTCCTTCAGTGTTTAATCCTGACATTTTGGAATGTTCCCTCACACCTGTAACTTGTTCTATCGAAGCCTGGCATGACTTACTGTCTTTGTCATCTTGTACAAGAAAGCAGCTCCAAGATACCTTAACTCTTTGTGGAAGTTCCAATCACCGTCATCCGTGCTATCGCTGCATGGAATTTGAGTCCCACATTTTCTGTTTATAATACACAAGAGGAGATGGCTTGTTAAAATCAGAAGCTGAGTTGATGCGAGAATGGACGTCACCGGTGGCCACGGGAAGGCCGTGATATACCTGAGGGAATAGGAAGTCTCCCCCTGAAATTGAGATTTAGACACATTTTAGCTGGATTCAGAACCCAAGACCTGTTGATCTGTCTCCTGAAGCTTCCTGTCTTTGATCATCTGGGAGAATCACAATGGCGTGGTTATAAAGTGAGTGATTATAACCTGAGTCTGGAAGGCATACTAAAGATAATCGAGTTGAGCATGCTTGGGCAGGAGAAACTGGATGTGGGGAGAAATGTTATTTACTATTTTGGAGTCTTGGTTAGTAGCAAGACTGGGGACGAAGGTATGATATGAGCCAGACTAAGGTATGTATGCTCCTTTATAATCTTCCTTGATGAGGGGTGCTTTTTGCTATAGACACCATCCTCAAGCACTGTATGTCATGCACTTAGGCGATACTACTCAAGGTCAAAATAGCAAAGGATGTGAGAGTATGCTTTAGAAGCTTTTATAGATTTAACATTTCTACAACCTCTCATAACATGTTTTGGTATTTCGGAAAGTATTGATCTGTAGTCAGTTTCAATTACTGCCTTTGAGTGGATTGTCTTAGGTATCTCGTGGCAGTAGAGTAATGACACCACAGCAACAGCTTTGACCTGCAGCACATGTGACTCCAGAGGCGTTCTTAAAATTCCCTATGGTCTCGATCTTCCTTCGGGTAGAAGTGGGACATATTTTCTATTTCTTCGTTATCTTACTGTTCATAAACATAGCACATGTTCAGTTGGGCATTAAGAATACCAGTCTTCTGGGGCGCCTGGGTGGCTCAGTCAGTTAAGTGCCCAATTCTTGATTTTGGCTCAGGTCATGATCTCACAGTCATGAGATTGAGCCCCACATCAGGCTCTGCACTGAACATGGGGCCTGCTTCGGGTTCTCTCTCCTTCTCCTTTTGCACCCCGCCCCCCCCTCCACGGCATGCTCTCTCTCTCTCAAAAACAAAATATATATATATATATATATATATATATATATATAGGGTATCAGTCTTCTAATCAGGAACATAGAACACCTTAGAGTATTGAGAAAGATTTTAAATTCGAGTAATAGATCCAAATTTTAATCAAAGTCCTGGTTGAGAAACATGTACACATGAGGAGTTTTTACAAGATTTTAGGGTCTATTTTTTCAACGCTAAAACAACATGAAAATATGCAATTTTCTTACATGTCTGGAATGCCCAAGAATATTGAGTCTACAGTATGTTGAGGGACATAAGCGGAATGAGTATACACACTGTTCTCTTGCATTTGGTGAGCAAGGTAACTGATTTTCTCTGGCAGTGCTCAGTCTCCCAGATGGAAGCTCATGGGTCCAGGTTTGGGAGTTTAGAATGGGTGTGGCTAGGAGATCATGGTTGTAAGGGAAAACTGCCCAATGGATGTGATTCAAATGATAAAGAAAGGGGTGGGTGGAAGGCAGGTCAAAGTATGGGCGGGCCTTGAAACCAAACATTATCTTATGATCATCCAAATAAATGACCTAGAGAATTTCTAGGACAGAGTTTGAAAATAGTGAGAAAATAAGCAAATATAGAACAAGGTGTTCAAGCAAAGTGATAGCACCTGAGTTCCAATAGCTGGAAATGAATGACGAGAAGGACAATAGAAAATCTGCCTTAAGGGACAGGAATATTTTTTTTGCTTACTTTTTCATTCTTTTTGGGGACAGTCTTTGTCACTGTTTCCAGCTTATCCTTTTCTGAACCCAACATCACAAGTCAATGGGTTCCACCTTAAAATTTTGTTCAGCATCAAGGGTTTTCAACTTCTTCACTCGGTTTTGTCAGTTTGTGAAAACCGGGCAATGTAGTTCAAGATCAGCACGAACTACGCAGAAGAGACTGAACATCCAAAGTAATCCATAAAGAATTTTCTTGTAGCCAAACAGGTTACAATATAGTTGGTGTCCATTAGCGAGAGAAGAGCTGCAAACCAGAATTCAACCTACCAGTACAATCCTATATTCCATTATATTGAATTAGCGATATAAACAGTGAGTTTTCATCCTATCATGCATTTTCAAAAAGTTAAGTCTATAAAAATTTATGATGACCAACGATCAAATTCTCTGAATGCTCTATAAGCAAGCCATGTAATCTGTCACTTCCTACGTTTATAAAATAAGCAAATGATGGTAGGATCTCTGAGGTCATGTTCAGCTCCGAATTTTACTGTTAATTTGCCCTGATGGTTAAAATGTGCTTTTAAACCCCAGGCGAGGAGCCAGTGCTGAGTAAGGATATTTTTCCGTATATGGTGATGTGTCTGCCTCAAAATTTACCTTTCCTATCAAGATACCACCCAAAGGAAAGGCTTTCCATCTATACCTGGGGAAGCATATTAAAAAATACACCAAACCGGGGGCACCTCAGTGGCTCAGTTAAGCATCCGACTCTTAATTTCGGCTCAGGTCATGATCTCATGGTTCATGAGTTTGAGCCCTGCTTTGGGCTCTGCGCTGACCGTGTGGAGCCTGCTTGGGATTCTCTCTCCCCCACTCTCTCTGCCCCTTCCTCTCTCTGTCTCTGTCTCTCTCTCAAAATAAATAAATAAACTTAAAAAAATAAGTTAAAATACACCAAACAGAGGAATCTCATTTAGTTTTCAGTATTTTTTGCCATGCTTGCGTTTTCAGAGGCTGCACTGATTCAGGACATACCAGGGTGCTGAGTTCTTTATTTTCCCTCCTTGAAATAGTTTACAGACCATGGTGCAACACAGCACTGAAGCTTGTGCTCTCTAAAAAGTTCAAAGAGACGTGAACTTCAAACAGAAGCTACACCAGGGCCCACACATTTTAAAATGTGTTACTGACCATTTTTAATGCTGATTTTCTAGATGTCTGCAAAAAGAACAATTTTCGCAGGTTAGTCCCGAGTATTCAATGCAAGAAACCACACCCCCCCAAATGAAAAAGACTGTTTTTCATTCATTCTTTACTTGATTCCAAGATGATAAAATTACCAAGCCGTTGGTTTAAAGGTGTACAACTGTAATGCGATGGGGTGATCTGGGCCATGTCTGGAGAAGTTTTTGATTGTTATATTGAGGTGAAGACTGCTATTGGC